CTGAGCTACACATATTCTCCTCCATTACTAGACTCAGGGAAGTTGGTGATTCAGTGTGTTGTGGGAACCTAGCCATTGTCTGAACAAGTTCTGTGAATCAGGCATTGGGTTAAGTCATTAGATGTTTAACTATTCAGGCAGAGCGTATTATGTGAGAGAGCTATTTGGTGTAGTGGTTAAAGATGCTGGACTAGAAACCAGGAGACCATAAGTTCTAGTCCCACCTTAGGCATGAGACTTTGGGTCAGTTGCTCTCTCTCAGCCCTAGGAAGAAGGCAAGGATAAACCAATTTCTGAAAAACGTTGCCAAGAAAACTGTAGGGACTTGTCCAGGTGGTCACCAGGAGTCAGGATGATTCTAAGACACAGTAAACACCCACTCACATGGCAAATTTAGGTTTGTTAGCACAGATTTAGGGCTTAGATACTGAATGAACCCAAGGGGTGAGTCTATAATTGCTTTATAGCTTTCGGTATTTTTAGAGATTTTTAGTAGAAGATTTCAGGCGCTATTCTTTGCTGTCTTGTGAAGTTCATGCAAATACAGAGTAAAATTTAGGTCAGTAATGGGTAGAGAAAGCAATGGGCAGCAAAGTTTGAGGCAAGGAACCAGAAGTAGTAGGAGAGGATAATAAAAAGGAGAAAAGTACAAAATGGATAGTGTGAGCAAATGCACAAGCCAGTGGTAGCTTGGAAATAGGAAGGCGTGCTGGACCTTATGTTCAAAACACATTTCCATGACAGCATCATTTCTCTTATCGTTTAGCCTTCATTGGGCAATTTTCCTATGCTCTCCATATTTTTTTTTCTCCAGACCTTAAATGGAATCTGGCTTAGAGTCTTAATACCTTCATATAATCACAGTGAGAACTAGAAACTTGGTTTGTTTTCAGTGCACAACTGAAATCCCTAGCATTCACTTAAGCGATGGTGGATCTCAAAAGTCTCTTGATGTCGTTTGCAGCCCATGAATAATGTAGCTGTTGACGTTTTCTTCCGTACAACAAATAAAATATATTTATTTGAATAGATACATTTGCCCAATGTTGTCATTTTGAAGTGCCAGATTGATTTGAGATGAGAATAGCTGAACTTCCCTTATGCTGTTTTTCTCTCCTCTTTACCCCCTTCCCCTTTCCAGGGATTCAAGTATCTGTACCTAACTCCTCAAGATTATAAGAAAGTCAGTGCTTTGAACTCGGTACACTGTGAGCATGTGGAAGATGGAGGAGAATCACGGTATGCGTCTTTAAAACATTGTATTTTTTAAAAAAAATACCATAATACCATGTCTTGGAGTACCAAGCCCTTCCCCAGTCGTGAATGCTAATTCAAACTTTTCAGTAAAATTGAGCGTGCACATTATTGTCATTTGTTGGCACCAAAGAAACTGAATGTGACATCTAAGTGGTGACACCTTCTGAGAGATTCTGGCAAAGGTCATTTGCATTATCTGCCATATTTTGACTGTAATGCCAAAGGTTGAACCCAGGGCTTTCTTGTTTCAAGGTAGCTGCTTTACCAGTGAGCTTTGGAGGTCTTGTGTATGCGTTCTTAGCATCTCTGTGGACGCTGAGTTTGACTCTGCAGGGAGGGGTGGGCTGGCATTGGGACTCCTCATCTACCAATACTTTCCCAATGAACTTTGGGACTTTGGTATCTCCGGTCCTTGGACTTCCCACTATGCTGCAAAGAAGGAGTCCTCAAGGGAAGAACAAAAAGTCCTGTCATCAGAGCTGATCTGTTTAAAGGTTGCAGCTTTGCTGTTTGCCTCCAATTCAGGACCATGATTGCCCATCAGATGTTCCATTTTTGATGGAAATTGCAAAATAAAAATCCAGATAGCTCCATCAGAGAGGGTGGAAGTGACTACAGTATACACATACATACGTGTATGTATCTATGTATGTATGTATGTATGTGTGTGTGTGTGTGTACACACACACACACACACACATACATACACAGTATATTGTACAGTAGTGTTTTTCAAACTTGGCAGTTTGAAGATGGGTGGACTTCAACTCCCAAAATCCCCCAGCCATTCCCCATGGCTGGCTGGGGAATT